GGAAGAAGAATTAGGAGAAGGTAAACTTTGAATTTTTTTTTTTTTTTTAATTATAAAGTCTTATTATATCCATACAAATGATACAAGAATTCAATAAAAAATGTGCAGCCAATCAATTTACAGTTTCTATACAAATTTATAATTTTATTACGTTATTCCTATCGAGAGGTTGAACAAGTTCTAGTATCATGAAACATAATGCAGCGTCTACAATGGCAGTAAGTTGTAAGGTCGTAAGGAAATCAACCAATTAATAGTTAAGCTTTAATAAGAAAACTTAACTGTAATTAGTCGATTTGCTTACGACCTTATAACTTACTGCCATTGTAGACGCTGCATCAGACTTAATATTTTATGAATCTAGCACAACATATGACAAGATTTTTATTTATAGGTTTTAGATGGTCTCATGAAGGAATATTGCTCTTAATTGAAGAATATAGGCAACGAGAGCAAGAAATGAAATCAGGAAAAATTACCCAAAAAAAGGCATGGGAGCAAATTGCTCAAGAATTAAATAATAAGGGTTACAAGGTTACAGGAAAGCAATGTACAACAAGAGTTAACACAATGAAGAGGACATACAAATCTATAAAGGACCATAATAACAAATCGGGCAATGACAAAAGATCTTGGAAATATTTTGAAGTAAGTATATAATATACACTACTATAAAAACAGGGAATATTTTATATTTTACTAAAAATTAAGTTATTTTGAAAGTCCACTTAATAAAAAAATCATCGAATTTTTTCCTTTTTTCCTAAAATACAGAAGAATAAAGAAATTTTGAAAAACGATTGATAGTGCGTATAGTTGAAATTTTACATTTTTAAATGCTTTATTAATTTATTTATGATTTAATAGCAATAATTTTTTTTCAAGTTACAGAGGTTTGAAAATAACTTAATTATTAGCATATAACAAATATTTATTATGTTCTTTAATAATATTATTTAATATAAGACGTAAAGTATGTATATAAAGTAATACATTATGATTATTTATTTTAATACAAGTTTATAATATTAATTTTATAAATTGTTTAGCTGATGGACAATCTGCTAGGAAAAAAAACCGTCAATGAGGCCTTTATCAACAATTTCCTCTACTGGACAAGTATCTTTAAAATCTGATAATGATGAAACAAGTACCAGCTCCTTGTCGACCTTTTCTGAAACTTCTGGCAATGAAAGTTCAGATGTAAATATTAAAGTATCTCGTAAGTCAGCACATAATTTACAAATTGTAAATTGAATTAGTTTTTGCTACTATTTGTATTGAAGTTCTAGTAAAAGATAGTGTTATCGATAAAATCTAAATAATATGTATATTTGCAGGTAAACGTAAAACAAGTGACATTGCACAAGCAATTATAGAAAGCCGAAAAATTGCTGAGGAAGAAAAAGCGAAGAGACATAGAGAAAGAATGGAAGTGAAAGATAAATTGATGGGAAAACTTGACGAAATTTTAAAAAAATTATAAAACATTAATTGATTTATTTTATTTTATTACATTTATTTTATTTTTTGTATAAGAAAAAGTATTTTTTTATGTAACAAGTTATAAAGA